CATTCATAATTCCATTCGCACAAAGTCCAATGTCTCTCATACTAAAGAAATGTGTTCTGTATCCAAACAACCGAATAAGTGAATTCTTACTACAACTTATGCAATGGCCAATAGCCTACCTCTTCCTCTGTGTGTGTGTGTGTGTGTGTGTGTGTGTGTGTGTGTGTGTGCGTGTGTGTGTGCGTGTGTGCATATCTATGTAAATGTGTAGATATATCTATCTATCTGTATGTACATATGTACACATAAATGGAAATGTATATGTATATGAATGTTATTTATACACACACATATAAACAAACATACCCATACCCATACCCACACACACACACACACACACACACACACACACACACACACACACACACACACACACACACACACACACACACAAAATTCTATTATATATATATATATATATATATATATATATATATATATATATATATATATATATATATATATACATATACATATGTACATTTATGTACGTGTGAATAATATATATTATATATATGTATATAATATATAATATATATATGAATAAATAAATAAATATATATATATTTACATATATACATGTACATTTATGTACGTGTAAATAATATATATTATATATATGTATATAATATATAATTTATATATATATATATATATATATATATATATATATATATATATATATATATATATATATAAATAAATAAATAAATAAATAAATATATATGTAGATAATAAACACATATATGTATATACACATATATATGTATATTTGTATATGGATGTGTATATATATATATATACCTATATATATATTTCACAGAGACAGAGACAGAGACAGAGACACAGACACAGACACAGACACACACACACACATACACATATATATATACATATATAAACACACACATACATATATAAACACATACACACACACACACATATATATGGGCCTGTATGCATCTATATGTTTATATGTATATATCTATAACATATCTATATCTGTACATGCATATGTGTGTATATAAACCAATAACTAAATGGCAAAATACCTACCTACACACCCACAAAAAATCCTATCATTTATACATACACTGTTATCTACATCATTCTTACCCAAACAAAATAAAATCTTGAAGTGTGGTTGGGCAAACCAATTTCATAACGACCATGAGATTGAAAAGATCATTTTTTGCAACATAGAACTGCTCTCCCCATCATCCAAAAATAGCTTATTATTCATAACCATGTCAAAATAATCGATTCTCATAAACCTAAAATACAAATGTAATAATGTGTGCACACTAAGCAATAAAACGCTTACTTTATCGGATGACGAGGAACTTGTCATTCTTCCCCCCCCCTAACTTCTATTAATGCAATAAATTATGGTTATTCATAGCTATAGGAGTAACATTAAAAAGCGATGGAAAAATCTGGATCTGGTAACTTTCTAAACAAGCTTTAACATAACTTAATTGCTTAACTTTCAAATCACATTCATATTAAAATTACATTTTGCATAATTTTGGATATACAAATGATACAACGTAAACAGTCCAAGGAATCAATAGAATTCTCTTATGATAGTTGTCAAATCAAAAATGGGATTTACTTTTACAAAGCAACAGACAATAGATAAAGCATTCAATCTTCTCAGCTGATGCACTTTCAGCACTTCACCAACAGCTATCACCCCTAGGACAGAGGTCAGACTAGCTTCTGCTTTGGTGAGAAATTGTTGAAGAAGGCTCACAAACCAAACCATAATGGTCATGATCAAACTAATTCATATTCACTAATTCACCTGTCATTTGTTCACATGTACATTAAACCTTATAAGTCAAATATTTTGAAAGTCTTACTAATTAACCATAGGTTATTTTGGAAACAGGACTTTCTCTCATTGTCATATTGGTTGTGTTCCATTGATATCCACTTGAAACTTGCTCTGATCTGTGATGGAAGTACTACAATCAAGTCCAACTCAACACAGGGCTAGTGATAAGCAATAATAACAAACTGTGTATCTCTGACACACCATCAAAGACCAACAATCCTTCACTACAAACTAGTACTGGCATATTCTAGGAATATACTTTTATGGCTGAATTCCCTAACTGATAAATCATCAGTAAGAGATACATGAATTATCTTGGAGGAACACTTATAAAGCAGCTTTGGCTTTACCAAAATGTCAAAAGGCAGAGGCCACTCACAGACCAGTGATGGACTTACACGAGTATTAGTGTGATTTATCTTCGTTTTGCAATAACTTGTTTGAAAGAAGAAAATGGTTTCATAAATTATCAACCTATTGGTTCTGCTTGCTTTTACTTTGTACTTTGTTCTTTAACCCAATAGGCACAGATGGTACGAAAATATGCCATGCCCAATGTACTATAAGTTCATTTATTGCATTTACACAGAGACGCCTCTACAAGTGCTTAGTCACCAAGGAGTCAGTTATTAGTCCTTCTTATCTCACCTGTTTACCCTTTTTCTTGATTTTTGGAATGCCTCATTTGTATTATTATTATTATTTTTTTTTAATGTTATTAATATCTTAATAACAATCTAATATGGATAACATCAATACAAATAATAACAGTATCAATATCAGCAGTATTAGAAAGAAAAACATTTTCCTGTAATTTCAAGGAATGGGGAAATCAGGAGCGATCACTAGGGCCTACTGATAGACTCCTTGCTGGCTGAGCACATGTGGAGCCATCTTTATGTAACAAAATTCACAAAATAACTACAGGGGACAGTACATAAATCCCTTGTCATTAGATTAAACACAAAAAATCAATTGAAAAAGCTATATCCGAATACGAGTTCTGTCACCAAACAAACATCAACCCAGATCTGTCTTCAAATGAAAGATTTTGATCATAACCCAACAACCTTAACCTAATACTCACAGGAGCTTCATTTGCCAAACTGAACCACATGAAGGCTGCCATACACAGTCAGCTTCATGAGGGACAAATCAGAAGCACTGGAAACATCAGATTTTCTCACCCTCTATCAACTGGTTTGCAGCTTATTAGGCAGTCCAGTGAATGCAACTAAAAGATTACTTTAAACCTCATTCTAAGGGGCTCTAGCTCCTAAATCGCTGCATTAATGGCCATGGCTGATTAGCTTGCAGAACTTACAACAGGCTTGACAAGAATGGCAAATGTGTAGCCTATATGCCACCAAGAAATTATTCCACTCATGCCATGGCAAGTATGTACATGAAATCCATCGGCATGTACTTGGTTGTGTTTGGCTTTGGACTCTAACAAAAATAAATATATTTCTAACTATATTAATTAACATTCATAGGGTAAATGAGAAATCGCAAAAGTTAAAGCAAAGCAGACTAGTTTCTTATAACCATAAACATCTTGTAAATATAAGAAAAAGTGTAATAAATAAACAAAATATATAATATTTAAGTCTGTTCTTAGTAAAAAAAAATCACAGGTAAATGTACATAAACCACCAAAATGTATAACAAAATAAACTGGTTTCACTCTGTACTACAAAAGATGGAAATTCTAACATACATCCCCTAAGAGATATAATTTTTTCGAGCATCGACACATAACCTTTCAATCACTGTACTGACTACTATTCCCTTTTGAAATAATTTAAAATCAATACATCATCAGCTGCACATACTTTATTTCTTATTCATATAATGTTTTTGGATATTTCTCAACCAAATGCAAAAATACTACTACAAAAATAACAGTCAACCTATAACTACGTAAAGAAAATAACGTCTCTCAAAAATCTGAGTGCTTTCTATAGATCCCCTGCATACCAATAAAAAAAAACAAAAAAACTTCCATCTTGTCCTAAGTCAAATGAAACAACAAACCTAAAATATAAGCAACAATCCATTGTCAAAAGAAAAATTCAGATCTGGGCTGGACATCCTGCAGCCACTAAAAATCCCCAAGACCTTTCCTTTCATGGGATATGTTTCTAAAAACAGTCCTTGGATTAAGCCTGGGAAATACTACCGAGACTCAGCCCCGTCCCAGAGAAACCTCCGTCCACCATGCCTCCCGTTTTTTTTGTTGCAACCCATTTAGCCTTCTGTGACCTTGGCACACCTGATGTTACAAATGCATTATAATATTCTAGAAAGTTCACGGACAACAGGTTCTGACTTCCGATGGCAAAGTCAGCAGGGTCTGGGCAAAGTGCATTCTAGTTCTGGGTCTTGTTCCCTCGTGTGCCTAGGCCTGGGCTAGAGTGATAATTCCCAACTCAAATGTAGTTCCAGTGTCAGATAATTCTAGTGGAACCCCGGAGCTGTAAGGATATCTCTTGAGAGTAGAGTCCTTGTGTGACAGGAAGTGTTTTAAGTGAAACCCTTTACCTCAGACAATGCTTTTATGGGGTTCCTGTCTTACAGAAATGTTTGAGAGGAGTCCTTGCATCAGCAGATAAATGTTATACAAGTCCTAGTGTTGAAATGAAATGTTTCAGGAGTCCTTATGTTAAAATGAATCCCTGTGTCAGAGGAAGTGCATCCCGAGGGCCCTAGTGCTCAGAGGAAGTGCCCTAATAAGAGTTCCTGTGCTGTGAGGAAACGTTTAGTGGAGATTCCCGAGATGGAAAGTGTCCCCAGGTACAGCAGGTACAGCAGGTGCAGCAGAGGTCGTGGTGTAGCTGCACCTCCCTCGGCCTCTGGTGCCCTGCCATACCCAGTTGCAACACGCGCATTAGGTCCTCGTCCTTTGCAAATCCCGTTCCCCTTTCCCCACCTCGCCCCTTTCCCCCTCGATTCCCCCCCCTGCATGGCCATCCCGCCGCCGGAGAGGCCGAGAAACGCGCTAGATGAGGCCCGAGGAGAGGCCAGAGGAGAGGCCATTCCGTTCATTCATAGAGGGAGGCGATCAATAGCTCCGTCCCATTCATTCTATCATAACAAAACACAACCTCTCCCTTACACGGCCGGACACGCCTCTCCGCCACGCCCTCGCCTCCCTTACCTGTTCCTCGAATCTTATGATGAGCGATGAGACCCACTCGACAGGCTTTTGAGTCGCCATGCTGGAGAAATTTGGATAGAACATAGAGACAGCCGGGCGTAGGATCACTTCGTCACCGCCATATTGAACCACTGGCGAGTGTGACGTCACGGGAGGGGAACACCGGTGACGTCACGAAGGGGGGCGGGGCCTCGGGGGGCGGGGCCTCAGGGGGCGGGGCCTCGGGGGGCGCGCCAAGTTCAAAGGCCGGATCTAACAGGTGCGTCCGCCGGAAAAGGCCCAAAGGGACACTGATAATAAAGATGGTCGTGGGGATAACACGGAGATGAACTGTAATGATGTACACCATGGCAGTGAGGCACAAGGACCATATTACTACTAATAATAATGCTGACAATCGCATTCATATACCCTCAGAAGGTATGCTGTAATTTACAACACAGTACAGAATATATTTCAAAATATGTAAGAATATGCCTCTTACCACGAACATGTGCTAAGATGCTGAAATGCAGCCAGGTATTTAGTAAAGGTGTCACATTTTTCTAGATCCACAGATCCATAACCTTTCTGAACAAAGATTGTTTAATCTAACTCTTTGTTGTACTAAAACATGAAATATCTAAATGAATCAAAATCTATTATATGTTTATTGAGATGCTGAAATGCAGATAAAGATACAAATTGTTTTAAAGCTCTTTTCTGCATTCTTACTTTCGATTTATTGACAATGGCATAAATATAGAATATAAGCATTGCATTCTCTAATAGTTTTGAATGAAATAAGGAAAGATAGAGAGAGCGAGTAGGAAAGAAAAAAATGTATCAAAGTGACAGTGATATCATCACCAAGAACTCTATTATCACCAATGGCCTTGATAATAAGAGTGATGCTAAATGTAATGATCATAATGAAAGGACTCATGATGATAAAGAATGATAATAATAAAACCATTGGTGATACTGTTAAAATATAATGGTAATACAATAGTAATAGGAAAAACAACATGAAAACAATTGAAGAATAGTAGTAGTAATGATAATAAAGATAACAATAAACATATTGCCAAGAATGACAGTAATTATATAAATGTAAAAAAAATAATGATAATTAAAACAGGAAAGGAGGATAATGATGCCTATGATAACTATTACTACTTACAGTACTACTACTGACGTTGATGATGATTATGATGACGATATTGATTATATCAGCGATGATACTTATTCTCACCTAATCATCACCATTATCATCTTCTTTTTTATGATTATCAATAACATGATTAAATTCTTCATCATTATCATTACCGTCATGATCACTATTAATGATAACAATGATTTTCCTTAAGATTCTCTCTTACCACCATCTATCGTGACACCAAACATAGACTTCGGTAACTAGATTTTTTCACCTCATTCACTGCGTAAATAGAGGGAAAAATAACGCTTATTTTAACTCATGTTATATCGATTTACATAAAGTATTTTGAGTATTCCTAGCCAGTCGACTAATATACCAAATTCTTCACGAGGATTTTCATTCAGAATTCGAGCTGGCTGCCTGAATCAAAATGGATCGGCATGCAGTCTACTTCAGGATAATATTTACAAGAAAAAAAAAGTATATATCCTCGCCATAACACACAGACGTTCTATCAAAAGCCAATATTATTCCGGATTTCTCAGGCTTCTCAGAAAACAAACAAATCTCGTATCATCAGGATCCCTAAATAGCGTGGATGATATTTACATTTATATACTCAGTGAGACCCGAGACGCGAGGGAACAAGGGACCCTTCTTACAGCCAGGCCCAGAGACCGAGGCATTTCTCTGTGACGTAGGGCCTGGCAGCGAGGCAGTGCATGTGCTACTGTTTGGGCGACTCAGCTAAGCGATAACATTTTTTTGGACTCACACCGTTGCCAGTGTGATAATGTGTCTTTCTGGTGAAATGGAAGATTTATGGGTGCCTGCGTGTGTCTAGACACACACACACACACACACACACACACACACACACACACACACACACACACACACACACACACACACACACACACACACACACACACACCATACGTACACTTACATACACATGCATACATACAGACACACGTATACATATATATATATATATATATATATATATATATATATATATATATATATATATATATATATACATATATATATACATACATATATATATATATATATATATATATATATATATATATATATATATATATATATATATATATATATGTATGTATATATATATATATATATATATATATATATATATATATATATATATATATATATGTATGTATGTATGTATGCATGTATGTATGTATATCAATACACACACTGCAAGTAGAACAACGAAGGGAAGTACAGGAAACACACAAATATGGCATATTCATGTGTTTTCCTACAATTCCCTCCGTTGTTCTACTTGCAATTTGTTCGACATACTTGAATTACACACACACATTT